TTCAGGATCCCTTAAGAGAAGAATCTGGTCCAATGAAAGAACGTCCCCTTCGCTTCTGGGAAGCAATTTGGTAGAGTGTTAGTATACAGCCTTTGTGATAAGAAGCGAGGTACTTCGGCGTTTTCATTAGCTTGCTCTTCCCAAGTATTTTTAGCATGACTGCATTTAACTCTCTTGGGGTTTCTTCCCTGGCAGCCTTTAGCTGCTGGAGCAGACAAGCCCCTGCACAGTGTTCTTGTCTGGCAGCTTTTTGTTTTGCCCAGTTGCACATCCTGCATTCAGTGGTGTGAGGTACAAACAAACAAACAGCTATTAGGCACTTGCTGCCAAAGCTACTGGTCCTGTAAACCTGCTTAATTTCTTCTTAACTAAGAAAATAGTGAGGCAGGATTTGTTGCTGCCTTTCCCCTGGCATGTTCAAATCGCTATGGGATGCAACATTTTAATTATTCCCCGTCACACCCCTGAGGTTTAAGCATCTACTCGGCTTTCAAATCATCTCGCCTATCCCTCTGCTGTTGCCAAACATGCTTTTAATCTCTAACAATGTCAGGATTCTCTGACAGACAATATGCAACATATTGCTAGAGAAAGAGGATCACGTACAGGAGAAAAGAAAAGCATTTGAGTGTGTGTCGCTCTGCAGAGACTGACTGACTGGTTTCCAATTGCTTCAAAACATTGCTGAAAAGCTGATGCAACGGTATGTGCAGTGAAAGGAAAACAGGAATCTTCTGCAAGGACTAGAGTGTCTTTCTCTGCAGTGAGTTTCTGCTCTCCTCTCGCTGGCATTACCTGCTCTGTTATTTTGCTCTTTTACAGAGAATTTTTTTGCAGTTCCTTACTCTGCCAGTGCTGGTGTTTGTTTCCTAGTTTAATACACGAGGGCTGCTCTTGAAGGATCTTCTAAATGTTGTGTGCTGTGAAAGGCAGTGCAAGGGCAGAAAAGGCGGTGTGCATGATTTCAGCTGAACACTCTCACAAGTCTTACATCTTCAGTTTGTTAAAATGTTATAAAGGCTCTTTAAATAACTTATTGTTACCTGAAGTCTTAGGGCTTGTTGTACAGTATCTGACACGTTCAGAATGGAGGACTGCACTGGGAATTTCCACAGATAATAAATTTTTGATAATTAAATGTGATGTCTTTGATTCCTAAGGTGCATGTGACACAAAAATAGAGGCTTCCTGAGCTGATTTCATAGAGAGCATGTTTGAGATGTTGGATTTCCCATTTTCCTCATATCAGCAACTTAGGTTGCCAGGGGGCTGACAAACCACACTGAGAGAAGCTCGAACTGGCACAGGAAAGTCGTTACATATGTGTGGGCACATAACGAGAAGTTGCTTTCCACAGTGACATCTGCTTGTTCAGGAATAAGTGGTTCAGTGACTGCCTCCCCATCTTGAAGGCTGCTTGCTTTAGTCAGTGATGTGACTTGGTGTGCTGCATCGAGCACTTATTGGAATTAACATGCTGTTTCTGCTGGTTTCAGGTTGTTTCTGTCTTTGCAGGTGAATTACAGAAAGTGACTCCCAGAGCATCTTGGCTCTATGAACTCTTGAGCTGTCAAGGGACTGAGAGGCTTATGAAGAGGTTCTGTCAGGCAAAACAGTGCTTAGCAAAGACACCAAGGAGGAGGGAAAAGGAGAAAGGGTGGGAGAGAGAGCTGAAACACTAACAAACCATGGTAGGTATTTGTCATCTTTCACGGGGTTGCATTAAAAACATTCTCCACTGACAGGCTTGCATGGGGCCTGATAAAAGCAGAGTAAGGGGATTTTCTGACCCTGCACTAAATTAGAGGTGATACTGCATGCTTTGAGCAAAGCGAACGAGGTTTGATATATTGTCAGCTCTTAAAACCAGAGAGTTGTCTGGTGAGCCTGCATTACATGAATTATTTAATATGAACAAAGGGGATGCTCATAAGGTTTTCTAATAAAACTGGCATTAGCAAGCTGTAGCAAACAGCATGAGTGACCTTGAACTTGCAGACTCCGTAACCAAACGCTGATACTCCCCTTCAGAAAAGCAAGTGTTGACTGCTCATACTTGTGTGCTTCTGACTGAACGTGGTCAGTCCCTCCTCATTAGAAAAGAGAGCATATGTCTTCTAATTTAGGAGTTACTAATTTGTTCCTGTTTTACTGGTTTTCCTAATTGATGTTTCATGAAATAGGAGATGATGGGGGTGGGCCAATCAATCCAGCTTGTCAGTTTTCACATCTGAACTGCAGCTTCTTCTTGTATCCATGTTGTGGATAAGCCACAAGAGGGACCTCCTGGAAGCATTTTGCAACGTGTGAGAGAACAGGGGATAATAGCAGCCCCCAGCTGATGAGTTTCATTTTCTCCCCGAATTGTCCATCTGGGTGGGAGCAAAAAAGATAGGAAAGGAATGACGGCACATCGACCTTCCGTGGCAGACAGTTCCAAGTTCTGGGAGGCTTCCAGCAGTGAATGGTGTGTCGCTAGACAGCAAAGTTTAGAGCTGCTCTTGCCAGAGATCTGTGCTGTGATCACAGCTGGTTTTGGGTCACCGTTGAGATCAAAAACATCTCATCTGCCTAGTGTGGGGCAGAACGAGAGCTTCCTAGCAGGAGTTACCCAGCTGATTAAGGTTGCCTCCCTCATTACTATCACTGAGGACTCTGTGTTTCACTGCAGACTCTTTTAATTGGCACACTAATCTCTTCCTATTCTTTTAAATCTTATTTATTTTTTGGAAGAAATTATTTCAGTCTTTTCTTACCAATTTATCTCTAGCCTCATCTTTATTCATGCCTTTGTAAATCCCTGTGCAGTTTGCAAAGCCCCTCGCGGCAATACTTATTGCCTGTGACTTCATCTGGAGCAGTAACAAACCCCCAAGGGAAAGGCTGTTTAATTGCCTTGTTCTGAGGTGTGCTGCCGTTGTCTCTGGCATGAACAGAGGAGAGGTGACTGCGCTCAGCACTTCCAGAATGTGCAAAGCGGTATTTGAAGAGAATCAATGTCTTTCACAAAACAGGAATCTCCTCGGAGTTCTCTTTGCCTGCTCTCGTTTCCGCATGCTTTACCCGGTCTTCTTTTGCCCTGGGATACGTAGGTTCTAAATTTCCCTGCCGTGAAAAGAGGTCGCCTTTTGGGATAAGGACCCCGGCTTTTCTTTTTGCTCTGAGCTATCCAGCTGCTGAAGGGTTGACACAAGCCATCTCTGGAACTCTGGAACTGCTTAATTCTTGCAAACGTTCCAGGATAGGGAAGCCCCTCTTTCTTTCAGTACGATTGCTTCTGTCTCCATGAGATGTAGGTCCTGCAGTAAAGATCAGGGTCTAAGTGATTTCTGACTGACTTCGAAAGCTTACTCTAAAGAAAAAAGCTCGACAAAGGATGAGGGAAGTCAGAGATGCTGGGAATGAAACTCAGGTGTTTGTTTGGGTTATTTTGGTTTTGTGGTTTTTTGGTGGGGCTTTTTGAGCTTTTTTTTGGGGAGGGGAGTCCCCTGCTTCTTCGCTCTAACCTTTATTTGGCAGCCAGATCATGCCCTCTTCTCAGAGAGAAGCTTGATGGGGGAAGGCAGGGAGAACTGAGAAAAACAACGAAAATGAGAAAAATATGGGGGGTCGTCATAAAAACGGTTTCCTACATTGTCAGGGAGGATTCCCATTCAGGCAATGTCCTTCTATTGATAATGCAATAACTTTGTTCTTTTTTTCCCCTGCCCTGTTTCCCACTTCATAACAGAGATCTATCCGATCTTTTGCTAATGATGACCGCCATGTAATGGTGAAACATTCAACCATTTATCCATCTCCAGAGGAACTTGAAGCTGTCCAAAACATGGTATCAACTGTAGAATGTGCCCTTAAACATGTCTCTGACTGGATGGATGAAAAGAACAAGTCTACCAAATGTGAAGGTGATGTGGATGCAAAGGAGGAAGCTGCAGAAAGCAGTGCCAAGTGAGTGAGGCGAGCCTCATCATGTGTTACTGTACCGCTCTGAATGCGCTCCTTTCCTTCTGAAGAAGAGTCGTAGTGTTACTTGACTCTCTTGCAAATGAATGTTCATAGAAGGAAGGGGATATATTTGGACTTCTTGAGGTGGGAGCACGTAGGGTGAGTGCAGGGAGTAGTAATAAACCAAATGTGGGCAGCAGTTGCTCTCTGGTTCGTTATTTATTTTGCTGTGATGTTGTGAAGTTGCATTTAGCAGAAAAACCTTTCGGCACTACTAAGTGAATGTGTGTCCCACTAACAACAAATGCAAATGCACAGCCATGTGGCTTAGGGGCTCCTTCACTTCAATACACAGAAAAAATATTTTTCTAAACTTCATTGCTTATCTAGCAAACTTAACTTTTCTAAGGATCCATTGCCTTCCATTATTGTTGGGGTTTAATCCCTGCTGGCAGCTCAGCCACTCGCTCACGCCCCTCTGGTGGGCTGGGGGACAGAATCAGAAGAGTAAAAGTGAGAGAACTTGTTGGTCGAGATAAAGAATTTTAGTAGGTAGAGCAGAAGTCCTGTGTGCAAGCAAAGCAACCTGAGGAACTCACTGATCACTTCCCATGGGCAGGCAGCTGTTCAGCCGTCTCCAGGAAAGCTGGGCTCCATCCTGCGCAATGGTGACTTGGGAAGACAAATGCCATAATCTGAATGTCCACCCGTTCCTCCTCCTTCCCCCCAGCTTCTATGGCTGAGCATGATGTCATAAGGTGTGACACTGTATCAGTGCTTCAGTTAATTTTTTCATAGGAGCTACTTGTGTAAAAGGAGTCTGTGCTCTTCATTTTCTGAACAGCGATGTGCTGCTTTAGTACAGTCGTCAGTCCCATCATTTATCTCCTCACTGTGATGATAAAATTATTTTGAATGTGTGAAAATACCATTCTCATTACTTCAAATTGTTTCGTTTCCAGGGATCAAGGCGGTCGGACGTTGTGTGGTGTTATGAGAATTGGCTTGGTTGCAAAGGGCTTGCTGATAAAAGATGATATGGATCTGGAGCTGGTTCTCATGTGCAAAGAAAAACCCACAAAGACCTTGTTATGTGTAGTTAAAGACAATCTCCCAGCTCAAATTCAGGTGAGTTAATTTAGGGTAGTCCTCTAACAATGGCTGATAGCACAGCAAGGTGCATTTGGGTAAAGGCTGGAATTTGTTCCAGGATGAAAGACAGGTTAAAGATAATACACTTTGAATCTAGCACATCTTGAGGGTGTGACGTGTTTAATGTGGTGATATGAAGTAGGTATTCACCAAATTTAACATCTTATTCCTGTTGTCGCCTACTCCCCGTCTGTGATGTCGGTTTTCCTACAATGGCAGCTAACCTTCCTGTCTGGTAACTCACCCAGCTGAGTTTTGCTCTCTAACTAACGTGAGCTAAATTGGAGTCCCAGGAACGTTCCCGACTCAAGCCTGCGACCCGCTCTCTATCGTTGGCCCCTGCCTGAACCCAGAGTTGTGCACCGTGGCTGCCGGGCTTTGCTTGGGCTCTTCCGTGGCAAACGCCTCTGTACTGCTCCAGTGAGAACAAGGCACTTCGGGCGCTCGCTCGTTTTAGCTCACGTTAATCATGAGCTCGTAATTCTTTTTATTTATGGTTATTTAATTCTGATGTTGGCATCCAGTAGGCAGCACTTACGGCTAATATCAGTCTCTTCTTAAAGCAGCTGGCAAGAATTTTTTTTTGACAGCGTCTGAAGTCTGAATAATCAGGCCGGCTTCCCAACTGACGTAAGCTGTTGCTGAGAAACTGTGCCCTGACATGTGCTGCTCCAAGCACCTCTCTCTCCAAACCGTGTCCAGACTTGATCTGCTTTTTCTCCTGATGCGCTTTTCTGCCTTATGTTTATTTCCACGTAGACAGAGTGTGTGTTACCGTTCTTGACAGCTGTTTGTTCTCACTGTTCATTTATTCACATAAAGGGCTTGTTTTAATGAGAGAATGTTCTGCCTGCAGGTTTGTCGCTATCCATGGCTGAAAACGCTCAGGTCTACTGAGTAGTAAAGAGTAAATTTTACTTGTTTGTAGTGAGGTGTGAGATGAGAAGGGTTGAAAGTGGTAAGTTAGCATACACTTCAAAAAAAGTGAGAACGGCAGGACAGACATAAAAGATGCGAAGACCACAGTGAATTCAAGGACAAGTAGGTAAGGTGCTACAAGGAAGCGTTGTGAGGAAAGGGATGACAGAAAAGATGAGGCAAGAGGAATCTGACTCGTGAAACAAGCTGCAGCTGTCAGGGACACAAAAGACAACGAGAGGTTCTGCAGACACATCAGTATGGGAGGCAAAAGGAAGGTGTAGGCCCATTAGTGGACAAAAAGAGCAGATGAGGTGCAGAGATGTTAACAGCTTCTGCTTTGCCTCTTTGAAGGCCAGGAGTGAGCAGATGCTTCAGCGTTTTCATCCCAACAATAAAGGAGCTGGAGGAGTGCAGATTGCAATAGGAAATGTATGTTAGATACGGTGTAGCCATATGGTCTTGCTGAAGTGAACTCACAAAGACAAGGAAGAGCTTTAGGACTCGGAACCATCTGTGATTTTCTTTGCACTGTGGGAGGTTGAGAGAGGTCCCAGGGGACTACTGAAAGGCCTGCAGATAACTCTGATACAATGCACATTAATGAAACAAATTATAAGGCAGTTGTAGTATTATCTACAAAATAAATCTAAACGGGAAATAAAAAGTTTATTGAAAACAATTTAAAAACCACTCGGTTTATTGCTGTGCTTGTCAAGGGAGGAAGGTCATCTTTTCCAGGCATTGTCAGGGACCTCTCCTGGGGCTGGTATTAGTGAATGAAGTGGGGGACAGTGTTGTCTTGCATCCTATTTCAAGTGCTAGGTGGAAAAGGGAGAGAGAGAGATAGACAAGTTGGCAAAAATCAGACAAGTGAGAAAAACAAATAATTAAAATTATCAGGCCTGGAAAAAGCCAAGAAAGGAAGTGCAAGTTTGAAGACATTACTAGTTATTTATAAGGGAACAGTGATTCAGTATCTGACAGGACTACTAGAGGTAGGATGAGAATTCATTCGAACTGTAGCAAGGAGAGGTTGTGTTTCAAAATGGGTCGTCTAAATTACATGCGCAGCTGAGAATCAGCATAGGCTGTGTGGAGAGGTGGCGAAGACTCTGTTGGCTCGGGCATCTGAAGAATCCCTCAGGGTTGGTAGGAGGTGCCTGAGGTGCACACTGTAAGTGACCATGTAGTGGAACTACTTAGTGTTCTCATGAAACTTGCTGCAGAGCTTTTCTGAAGCATGTTACTGGGGTTTCTGTGTTTCTAATGAGGAAGGCAAGGCCTTATTTGTTATTGCCATGTCTTGTCAGCTTCTCGGTAGTTAAAAGGCACATGCACAACCAGAGATTCTGCAGTTTTTCACGTGATTGGGAGACCTGAAATCTTTCTTGGTGACTTTCAGAAACTTACAGAAGAGAAGTATCTCGTGGAGGAGCATGTAAATGAGGCAGCTATTATTATTCGTAACACAAAGGAGCCCAAGCTAACTTTGAAGGTGATACTTACGTCCCCTCTCATTCGAGATGAAGCAGAGAAGAAGGAAGGAGGTACACCGAGCGTTTTAACTTGTTTTTAAGACTGTTCTCTCTAAATGCCCTGACTGTGCAGCACAGGGTTAATTGGGAAGTAGGTTTTTAATTGTGCATCTTATACTAACTAGATTGGCTATTGCCACCGTAGTTTACATTATTTGTGTCTTTAAAAAAGACAGCAGTCACTTAATTTTCATGTAAATATAGTTTTCATTTCCAAGCAATATTCCCACAGTGTTGACTTTGACATACAATTAGATCTTAGTGCTCCTGTCTTTTGGACTTGCTGGTTAATTGTTGAGCACCCCAGCGCTGCACAGTCTTGTTTTCAAATCAAGTCAGTCAAGTGGGATTGGTTCTTAGTATCTTGAAAAACTCGTAAAATTGTTTCTCTTTTTACATGAAAAAAAAATCTCTTCTGCAAAGCTCGCAAGTACGTTGTCCTGGCCCTCAATTTTTATTAATTGATGATATGTGTACATTTGTAGCTTTAAGAATTTCCTAACTGGGATACAATTGAAGTTACAGCCTTTTGCTTCTGAATTGAACATTGTAGCTCATGTCTTTAGAGCAAAATAGATCTAGAAAACTGTAACGTAGTTTCTTTCTGTTCCTTCTCCCTAACTGCCTGATGTCCAGCATAGTTCCATGCCCCTCGAAAGGAATGTTGACTGGTAGTATCGATGAGGTTGGAAACAAATCGAGAGAAAGAGAAGAGCAAATGTAGCCATACTTTGTTCTATTTTTAAAATCTTGTCAGTAATTTCTGCTTCCGCTTCCCAAACCTATCCCTAGAAACTTTGCCACTGGATGATGTCAGACCTTTGACCAACTGGCCACTCTCTGTCATGACACCTGAGGCAGCTGGGCCCGTGTGGGCTAGGGAACTCCCTGGCGCTCTCTTCCCATTTCTAAGACTTGCCACCAGTCCTTTGCTTCCTCCCTTCTCCCACTGAAACGCCGATACCCTGAGAAATGTTGGTCAGTTGCTCTTGGCTGCCCTTGGAGGCAGTGGCGGGAAGGATCCCTTTGCCGATGAAATGGAACACTTTGGCAGCAGTTGGGTGCAGAAAAATCTTACAAAACAGATGAATGGCAAAGATTCCCTGGTGATTGCAATGGCTCTTTGTTTTGCAAGGCCATTAAAAATAAACCGCGTATTACTGTAGTGGTTCTTCAGCTTCCCGTAAGATGCCGAGCTCAGTGCTGTCGGTGTTGCAGCTGCTCCGTGTTCGTGAGAAAGAGCACACAGTGCAGAGCAAACCTTAGTGGTAAAGGGTTTGTAAGACTCTCACGAGGGGATACAGTTTTGCACAAGGGCTCCCGTCCAAGTATTTTTTGAAAAAAATGGTGCCGTTGTGGCAGTGAACTCCAAGGACTCCCGAGTCAATCTCAATCCTGAATGAGGATTTGAATTTTTTGCTTTCTTACATTTTAAATATAAGTGTTCTATTTTGTTTTCAAGTATCTTAAAAATATTTTTCAAAATTCTGTGCTAATTTTTTAAAAGCTGAGAATGGTTTTAGTACCTCTCTTACAGGGGTGTTACACTCCCAATTCTGTACAACTGATAAGGGCAGTTGGTAGGGTAATGGATCTTGTTTTAATCCCCGGGTACTGATCCGTCACAAGTGAACAGAGACATTTGTGATGCTCCTTTTCAAAGGTAGGTGAAACATTATGCAGGTGTCACTAAGTAAACTGAAAGGGGGGGATAATTTCTTCAGATTTCCAGCCCCATTTAGGTCACTTTCACTTACAGTCAGACCAGAAACGTTTCAAATCTCATATCAAGGGAAAAGACTCGGAGAAACTGTTGTCTGGTCTTAATCTGCAAAGGAAGCACTGCCATAGTTTTTCAGTACCCCTGAATAACACCATCCAAACGTAAATATACTTTCTGTGCAGTTTTAAAAACTGCTGGGAGTTGATTCCATACCTCCTTTTGAATGAAGGAGCTCAAAACGCTTGTCAACTTGCCTTTCATCTCACGTGTAAGATAGGCCACTGGGTTCCGGGCGCTGCCACCGGCCCCCCGAGCCGCTCGCGGGGAGCAGAGGCTGCGCAAAACTGACCAAGGTTTCCGCGTTCGGTGTGATTAGCACTAATCTGTCCTCTAACCAAACCGGCAAGGTTAGGCGCAACGGACCTCGTTATCAGTGCTCCCATTTGTTCTGTAGGAATGCTGTGTGTGCCTTCATGCCCTGATGTCAGAATGTATCTAAAAACATTCCTGGATTTCTCTTCAGTCCCCACCTCTTTGGAAAAGTGTTCATGTTTAAGATGTGGTGTTTGTCCTATTTGTTTTTGCTGCTTGGTAGCAAAAATAAATAGTGGACCAGTGTGTGTGTGTGCATTTCAGTGTTTCTCACAACTGGCTATCCATAAAGCTCTGCTTTCTCATGTTGACTTGAGAAGTCAAGCACCTAAAATTTCTGCATTTTGCACCAGTTTAAATTTTAAACTTCTGAAGAAACTGAATTTTTAGTCATAGCATCAAATATAAATTTGGCTTTCCAGACCAGAACCTTGTAGCTTGCAAATCGGTTGTTGTTACTGAGTGTACAGTAACAACAAACTTATGTAATAAGAAGCAAGTTCGTTTACCAGAGCGGGGCTGAAATCCCCCGGCTCCTTGAGCAGCTGCTGCCTTTGCTGGGCAGACGTGGCCGGCGATGCTCCAAAGGTGCCAAGTGCCTTTGAAGGAGCAACGAGCCCCTGACCTTGCCTCTGCAGAGAAGACAACGCTCTCGTGTGGCTGCTGCAAATGAATGAAGGTGGCAGCCACAGTCTGAAGAGAACACATAAAGCGAGGGGGGAGAGAGTTTCTGAAGGGCTCGTTCTGTGTTGCATAGCGTAAGCTCATGTCAGGGCTTTGATATTAACCGTTTACCGAACTCCTCTTATCCTTGCCCTTGTTAAAAGCACAACAAAAAGGAAAGCTTTGCAATCACATTTGAAAATTTGGATTTGGTCTCACTTTCCTGACTGGCAGAGCATGAAGAAACATGCCATTCTCCTGAAGGTGTCGAAAGGGAGCCTGCCGCAAGCCGCTCGCCCTCTTCACTGCCTGTTCTCTTCATCTTTCTGTTTAATAGAATCTTGCACCCAAAAGTTGGCTGACTGCAACATCCAGCAAAGGTGCTTGGGACAATTGGCAAAATTCTCCACAATACTTGTGATTTAGACCTTTGGAAATCGTCTTAATCCCACAGGAAAAAGTATGATTCTAACTTGCTGAAACAAAATATTTTGAGATTTCTCATTCACCTGAGTGACAGGTGACATATGTTTTGTTCACATTCTGTAGTTAAAAAAAATAAAAAATTATTTTGTCAAGGGCTGCAATGCACTTAAGCAAAGCCTGGCACAATGTCAAGTAAAAGTCCCTAAGCATTTGAAGATCCAGTACATTCCAAAAAAGTAGTGATTTTGCAGTCACCTTTGCCATTTCTAACGTTTTAAAATAAGATTCTGATCATTCATTGACAGTAGTTGTTTTATACAATACATGAGCTTTAAGCAGATGTTTATATTGTCCGCAATGAAGTTTTCTTACAGAACTACGCAGAGGTTTTGTGGCACACAATTACTAAATGTCCCTTACTCCTGAAAGCAATGAAACTGCAAAGGAAACTTGGTAGCAAATCTTGTGCTCCAAAGTGACCTGTGCTCATAGAAAGCCGGAGCTTTCCGACTTTGCAGCTTATATTTGGAAAACAGACCCAAGGACTGGGGAATCCCAACACTGTAATGCTGCTGCTGAGGGCAATAAGAAACAATGCAAATATCTGCTGCCGAGTTCATTGGGGTTAGAAAATACGCTTATAGCACTTGAGTCTTCTGCAGCCACAACCTGCCAGACAGGACACCTGGTTCTGTTCAGTTTTACACTAGATTTTTTTTTTTTTGCCTTTGGGCTCTTTTATCGATCAAAACACAACATGCTTTTACCAGCGGAAACGTCCCAGGGAATGGCACAGGAGGTGAAGGAATTTGAGCAGCAGAGACGCAATCACACGTGTGAGAAGCACTGTCCAAAGTAACCCGTGAAACTGTATTTTGAGGTGCTACTAATAAATAGTTTGACAGACCAACAGTACCTTCTTCTCTTGACTTGTCCCGGTATTTTAAATGTCCTGCAGGATTTTGCTTATCTAGCATCGTCCTCAATTTGGAAGGGACACCGTACTTCATTTAGAGCTGTGTAGGTGTCTCAAGACTGGAGAACTGACTGTTATGAGAAGACCAGATTTCCAAATTATTTATTTTGAAATAAAGAGTAATTGTATATTCATAGGAAAATAACATGTTCAAGATTTTAGTTGAGCAGTGGATTCATTTAGTTCTGCTACTACATTCTTCTCATGTCAGCTAGAAACTAAAATCTTTTAACCTGATTTCAGAGATATGCAAACTCTGTCATTTATACAGAGTTTCCAGAGAATGCAGGTGCTACTAACTCTCCAGGATATAAACAATAACAATTAAATTTAGGGAATAAAGGACTGAAGCATGACGTCCCTCAGTATAAATCTGATGTAACTGCTAAAAGCAATTTGTTGCATGCCCGATTAAAAATAAAAAGAAGAGGGAAGGAAAAAAAAAAGTGTAAAACTGCACAGAAGATACCAGTGTCTTGTCTTTGAATTTCCCCTGTTGATTTCAGTTGCTGTTGGGAAGAGATCGTTCTTAAATAAGGGGACTATCTCTCCAATATGTTAATAATCTGGAAGTTGCCAGTAGTGTTCATGCAATATTATTTCAAATATATTCCATGTTCTTTGAAATTCTTAACAATTGCCTGGACATAACTTCACTTTCTACCTATTATAATTTTTTTCATACCCCTCCAAGAATATCTGCTTCTTGTCAAAAGAAATTTGTCTCTTTGAAATTCTGTGCCACCTTTGTGGAGTAAAAGCTACAAAGAAGCGAAAGAAGGGGGAAATAAAAGCCCCCAAAAAACCCAAACCACAACAACAACAAAAGTGCTATATAGCTATTTTCTGCCCTGAAATGTGTTCTACATTTTTAATAAGATCCCAGATTGTCTGTAGCAGTGGCCATCTTTATTATTACTATTATTTTACAAGGAGTGAATGCCTTTGCTTCTGTTGCACACGTGCACATTTACTACCTTTAATGGCTTGTTGAAATTAAATAACACGGTGCACTTAAATTCTGGGAGTCTTATTATCTCATTGAGATGCTGCCGCTCTTTTTGTATTGTGACAGAAACCCCTTGGTCAAATTGTATCTGTCTCTTTTTATCCCATTTTTACCAGTAGATAATGTTGCGATGAAAGATCCTCCGGACTTATTGGACAGGCAGAAATGCCTGGAGGCCTTGGCGTCTCTGCGGCACGCCAAATGGTTTCAGGTTGGCTATTTGTTCTTACCTTGTTGTTATTGTAGCCTTACGAGGTTTAATTTGAGACAGTTCTAATTTTAATGCCTCTTTAATTTCTGACTAGTCCCTGTTAGAGCAAAGGTCTAGAATTCCGCATTCAGCGCTGTACTGTGCGAGGGCAGACGTGGCAGGTAGACAGCCAACTGGTCTAGAGTTGTCATGAGGCTACAAAAGCAATCTTGACGTTTTGCTTCCTTTTTCATATGAATTGTTTTACTTTTATACAACTGCTTTATTTTGCATGAAGCTGATTAAGTATTAAGTATTAATAAATAATTTAAAAAAGATTTATCCCAGGACTGTCCATTTAAAAAGAAAAGCAAAATTGAAGGCCAGGTTTTCGCAGGTGTATTGGAATCATTTTGTTTGTTTTAGGCCAGGGCAAATGGACTAAAATCATGTGTAATTGTCCTTCGTATTCTGCGGGATTTGTGCAACAGAGTCCCCACATGGGCACCACTGAAAGGATGGGTAAGTACACCAAGAGCTGAAGGCCACAGGGTCAGGTCTCAGATCTCCTGAGTCATAGCAGTGTCTGCACTGGAGAAAAGAGCACGTTGTGTGAAACTCCTTCTCAACCCCATTCCTCTTACTCCCCACTAACCGCGACCTGTGTAGAAAAGCACTTGTAGGACAGAAAGAGGACATGAGTATTTGTTCAGGCTGAAAGGTCTACAGATACTATGGGGAGAGATGTAAAGCTGAGGGCCTTGCACATCCTCAAGGATTTGCAAGAGTCCTACTCTTGTCTCCACGTTTAGCTTTCGGAAAACATCCCGCCACCGTGCCAGTGCTGCTCCTGCCAGAGGGTGCCGTTCAGCGGGTTTGGGGGGTGCCAAATGCTCGGCATAGCCAGAGAGGAACCAGAGGAACACTTTGTAGGCCAGCGGAGGCAGTGTTTCCTCTCATGTAGAACTGGTAACCCTTTGAGAGGAGGAAAATATTCATGTGGCTTGGCTTTAGAAGGCTCCTCCTTTCAGACTTGCTGGGTGGTAATGGAGAGCAGTTGGATTCCTCACAAGGTGACTCGGAGCAGGGAACAAATGCGTGTGCCATGAGCTGCCCTCTGGGGTGGCTGTCTGTCAGTCAGACCTCAGTGGGTTGGAAGGGCAGTGAGCTGAAGGGACTGTACTTCCCCACTCCCCCTCTGGGTTTAGGTGCAGGTGCAGTTGCCATTGTGTCCATACTAACCAGCATTTAATGTCTTCTAGCCGCTCGAGCTTATATGTGAAAAATCTATAGGTACGTGTAATAGACCTTTGGGCGCTGGGGAAGCGTTGCGACGAGTGATGGAGTGTTTGGCATCCGGAATTCTGCTTCCCGGTAAGGGGCCAAATAACTTCAGGAACACAAAAGGTTCATCAGACAGCCTTCACGTTCTGCTGTTGCTTGGATGAAAAGTGCCTGCCCTGAACTGCTAACGTGCAGGGGAGCTAAATGAATGGTTTTGTGGCTTTTATTTAAAAATAACAATAATAATAATAAATTGCATGGTTGTAACTGTTTGAGTGACAACTTCCAGTGCAGTAGAAGTTAATGGGGAATTATAGGTTTGTTTATAAATTAACGCCTATCTCATTAAGGGGTTGCAAACAAATAAAAAGACGTGTGCAGCGTTTCCCCTGATAAGTTCTGTGGCCGCTGCTGCAAGGGAGTGCCATCCTGGGGGCAGCTTGTTTGGTGTGATGTTTGCATCCCTTACTGGAAAAGGTGCAATTCCCACCCTGCTGAAGAGAAATATCCATCAGTCCCCATTTTCATATTGCTTCTCGTGTGCTCTCAGTAACCTGCTTTGCCTCTTTCCTTCCTAGGAGGCCCTGGCCTGCATGATCCCTGTGAGCGGGAGCCAACAGATGCGTTGTCTTACATGACAGTTCAGCAAAAAGAAGCCATTACACACAGCGCTCAGGTAGAGAACTCGTACATCGGAGGAGTTAGATACTGTAACAGCAAAGACACCAGCTCGTTAATGCAATTTATTCTCTGCCAGGATAGCTTATTTTAATGGCAGTCCTGACAGGTCTCCTGTTGCGCTACCCTGGAAAGATTAACTGGTAGTTCATGAGCGCAAGAGTTAAATGTGTATAAATCTAATCCTTACCAAAGGCAGTCGGATGTGGGTGCACCACCTGCATCGCACCTCAGGTGCTTACGGCACAGAGCCCTCAAGCAGGCTCCCGCTCAGTGTGCCCTGCACTTTGTGCTGCCAGCAGTAATGAGTTCTTAATCTTTAGACTTTACACTTTCTATAGCTATCACAGAAGGTAGCTCTAAAAGCTGCCTTTTCATAGGAGAAGTGCTTTTCTCTCTGCAAACCTAGTTAGAAGCTTAGACAACTGAAGTAAAGTAGTGCTGTGATGTAACTTACGTTTCTGCTGTCACCTTGTAGCATGCCCTCAGATTATCAGCCTTTGGTCAGATCTATAAGGTTTTGGAAATGGATCCCCTCCCATCAAATAAGTCATTTCAGAAATATTCCTGGTCAGTAACTGACAAAGAAGGTAGGTATTGTTTGCTCCAAAAATCACTTAACTGGGCAGTAAACTAGGGATTAATTTAGAATGGGTGCAATTCCCGAGTTATATACTGATAACGCAAGGTAAAGGCTTTTCTGTGTGTTAAATGCATGGGGTTTTTTAAAAAAAACACACTCTATTTCTATGTTAGAGGAAAATCTGGAGGTTCTGTTCTCTAGAAGTACCAACAGAGGAGCAGCAAGTACAGCTAGAATGTAGCTGATGATTTTCTTAAAGCACAAAGCCCCTTGGGGTCTGAAGGCTAAGAGCAGTGCTCATGATTCTTATGCTGAGGAAGGAGAGACAGCAGACTGGTCAGAAACCATGTAATGAGTGTCCATAATAAGAATTCCTCAAGAATTCTTCCTAGAAAACGTTACAAAAACCAAATTCCCATGTATATTTTTTGTAAAAAAGAATACAGTTGGAGTTCTTGCCTTCTTAGAGCAGCTGCAAAGAACACCACTGCAGGGTTACATTACTTGTGTGACCCGATATTGGGAACAGCCACCCGCCTGGCGCGGTACAGGCAGTGAGCACGGGGTGAATGCTGCCTTATGCACTCAGTTACGTGTTGCTGTGAGGGACCTGTCACTGATGGCCGAGTTCTTTTCATTATGACCATGCAAGGAACAGTATGGGACTAATCAGACTTCTGCTGTGGAATTTTGTTTTTCTAATAGCATATCCATATTACAAGGAAATTTATACCCTAGGTACAGGCTCATCTGCTCTTAAGAGACCGTTTGAAGATAGTGTCGGCGATGATAAAGATCCAAATAAAAAGATGAAGCGTAATCTGAGGAAAAGTAAGTGCAACACTGCTCCTTCTGTTTTCAAAGATCTGTTGTACAGTGGGAGCTGGTTTAAAAGCTTTTCTGTGTTGGCATGCAAAAAAGTCTTTGGAACAAAAAACGTCTCTATCACCCCATATTCAGAATGTTGGACACATCTCTTATTGTGCATCTGAATTTCCCCTGATGGGTTTTACTAACCGAACAATTTGCATTTATAAATGGGATGCCCCATCAAGTTACAGTAAAATTTAAGTTGGCCAGGCAGCTGAGGTATCTTATTGACAGTGTCCCTGTACTGTGCAGGGTTTTTTGTTTTGTTATTTTTTTCCAAAATACTGCCGCAACTTTGCTGTGTGAAGATTTGCTGGTTTGCATTCTTCCGTTTCTTGAGCTCGTTGCTGGTCTCTCAAGACTTGCCACAAGAAGAACGAAATGCTTAATCTACAAAACACTGATGTTGCTTATATGCACAGACTAGAAGTCTCTCGGCATTGCTGGAATCCAGTCAGTTCTGGGGGCTATTTTCATTGTGCTCCTTTGGTGCCAGTTCTGGATCTAGTTCCTCACTGCCTATAAAACTTGTTACTCCTTTTATAGCAGCCAGGAAGAGCATAGCTAGCTGCCAAAGAACTGTGATAACGAAATGCGTAATTATAGTTGTTACCCAAAAGTAGAATTGCTTATTAAAGACTTAGCAGCGTTACGGCTATCCTCAACCTTTGAGAGACTGAGTGGTTGTTTTGCTTCTTTATACAGACAGAAAGCACTGAAATGCAAACTGTTTCATTTTTCTGTTCATCTTGTTCATTTTCCCTTTTTTTTTTTTCTTTCTTTTTTCTCCCCCTCCTCCCCCACTCCCTTTCTTCTCTCTTGTACTAGTACTAGATAGTAAAGCAATAGATCTCATGAATGCTCTGATGAGGCTGAACCAAATCAGGCCAGGGCTTCAGTATAAGCTGCTGTCACAGTCTGGTCCAGTGCACGCCCCAGTCTTCACAATGTCTGTAGATGTTGACGGTACGACGTACGAAGCATCAGGACCTTCTAAGAAAACAGCCAAGCTCCATGTGGCAGTGAAGGTAAGTGAGGCAGCCTGAAGTAACCTGATAACCTCAGGTCTTGGAATGTAAGAGTATGAAATATGGTTAGAACTAGCAATACGCACCTCAAAATGAAAAAAGTGTCAATGAAGCTGAGCTCCTGCAGATGTGAGAACATCACTGGTTTTATTGTAGAGGAGGGGACAAAGACTTTTCCAGGGCTCTGCAGACCAGCTCACATGACAATGGATTGAATGTGGTGTGCGTGTTCCAGACTGGAGGGGTTCAGTGTTGTCAGTTCCACTCCTTCCACCTACTGGTTTGAAAACAGCACATTGGTGGCTCCCTCTTTTTCCCCTTCTTCCTCTGTGTCCGTTTCTGGGTTGTGAGTTCCTGGAAACACGGAGCTGTTTCCTTTCTTCAGTGTCTGAAGGATACATTTGTGCACTGGGATCAACAATGTACATTAAAGATTTGCTTCCAGTCAATTTTTCAGTAAGGGACTGGTATAATTCAGGTACTGGTCAACCTGCTGTTGCATTTTGTAGGTATGTGCTCAGCGTGACAGAGCTGAGGTGTGTAATGCAGTGATGGACTGGAACACCCAGCAGATGAACAGCATTGTTGCATTGCTGGAGGACAGCTCAGGCTGCTAAAGCAGACCGAGCCTGCTGGGTTTCTGGGAAGAAATGAAAGTTTCCTACAGACAATTCATGTGAAAGAGAACCTCTTTTAATAGAACTGCACTTATGATAGGAACAAGCCCATCTGTCATCCTATGCTTAGTTTTGTTTTGAACACGAATTTCCTTTTTAGAAGCTTCATCTGGCAACTTTCTGCTTTGATTTTAGTTTTGAAAATCCCATTGTCCCATGTGCTTTCAAGATCAAAGTGTCCAGAAGTATCTGAGGGAATGTATTGTTCCTCCAGGAAAAGTAGCTCTTTGCATGTGTGTCCTTCCAGACCTTCTGCCTCATTCTTTTATTTTGCCTCCCTCCCTGCAGTCGTTTAAAAAAAAAAAAAAAAGGAACCATAATATAAAACTTCAAACTTGCCCTGAAAAGCAGTGACTTCTCTGCCCTTGAACCTCCCTGCGTCAGCCAGATCTGTGCTGGTGCCTGCCCAGCTCTGTTTTCTCTAAATTTACACATACACAGATCTGGGCTACGCTTCAAAACAGCCACGATTCAAGCCAAGAGGAAATGGGTGGTGTAGCAGAAACTAGCTTTTTTCTTTCTTTCTTTTTTTCCCCAGCAGATCTGGGCCCTGCTTTGCCAGATTTATAAGAGGGAATGATGTGACCAGTTCAGTTTCTAGATCTGGCCTTTTTAAAATTTAGAAGCTCTGAAAACGCAGCCAAATGTCTCACAGTGGTGTGAGAGCTGAGCTTGGATTTAGCCGTGCAGTTCTCAGTTCAGTGTTGGAACACAGTGATTTTTGCAAACTTTGGGTTTGGGACTAAATTTTCAGCAGAGCTTCAGGTTCTTTTCCGATCCCTTTGGGCTGTGTCCGGTACCTCTGTACGATTAGGTTAGGTGGCTGCTTAACGGAGGGGCTGGCCTTGCTAGTGGAGGGTGTTTTTGAAGGAGCTGATGAGTAAGTCCCTTAACTGGTAAATCTCTTTTGCTGTACAGCTGCTGACTGTCAGCAGCGTGGAGGAAGCTGGGAGGCTGTGGCGTGGCGGTTCACTAAGAGGGTCCCTTACTGCAGGCAGAGTTTTTCAGTCTGCTGGCTGGGCAGGCCTTCGCCTCACCTCTCGGTTCAGGAGCCGGCTCCCCACACACCTGCTTTTGGAAAGACGCACGCAGAGGAGGCGATGCCTGTCCTCCAGCTTCAGAGGCACGTTTTGTGTACTCCTCGGGTACCTATGGCTGTCTCCTGTGGTTTCTTAGGGACCGCCAGAAGCACCATCTCATAGAAGTACAATGTTTTAATTTTCCTAAGACTGTTGGTCCTGTTTGCCCTACGGTCAATCTCTTGATCTGTACACAGAGCGAGGGAGAAATGGTGTGTAAGCCAATCTCCTCGTCACACTTACCATGCAGTGTCACGCAGTGGATGCACTTCTGAATTTTAATCTACTATTTTACAAGGAATTCTCAAGATGATGAATGATGCTCATGAGTAATCACTGTCTTTGAGACTAAAATTCTGTTTGTGTTGATTCCACTTTTGGAAACCTGGAGCTGTTTTCCCCATTGCTATTGTTTTTCTCCATTTCAACACAGGAGAAAATGTATTTCTAAGCAGTCTGCCTTTAATAAGCGTGAGGTGGGCATTCTTCTGTGTTGTGATGAGCTTGGTTTTGTTTCTGCATTGCTGCCTATTCTACAGCTCACTCCCTGTGGCTTTGTTGTAGGTTTTACAAGCGATGGGATATCCAACTGGTTTTGACGCAGATGTGGAATGTGTGAGTTCCGATGAAAAATCAGATACTGAAGGTAAAAACGAAACAACATCTTCAATCTCAAGCAATAATACTGGAAATTCCACAGCCGACACCTCCGCTACCCTAGAGGTGAGTATTGCATTATGGACAAGTGATGGAGAGGTGTGGGTTTAGGGTTTTGTTTTTCAGGTATTTTTCTCTCTTCTCTCAGAAGATGATGGTGGTTTAGGGTGGTGGATCTGGAATTAAGAGAAGGTTTCCAGTCCCAGATCTGCCACAGGCTTTGCGTCACTGTGGACAAACAACTGATCTTTGTGCCTCCTGTCCTCAGGTGTAAGGGGAGCGCTCTGGTCCTTGTGCGATGATAAACTCTGAGACAGGTGTTACCTCTTCTCAGGTGTTGTCTCCTCCCAGGACGGGGATAGCTCCATCCCGTTTGGTGCCTCTGGGCTCTAGTAATGCAAATGTCATGTTTTCTGTTTCATAAATAGTGGGTTTGTCAAAAAGGTCTATGTACATAAACAGCATTTAAGCTGATACATGTGAAGACCAATGAAAATATATACAAATTCATTAGGAAACGCTAAGAAATGTAAAATCTAACGCCTCCATGCCTATTGAACGGACTGGGAAACGCTGCACTGCAAATGCTTTGGTTTCAATGTAGTACCCTTAGACACTTGGAGCTGCAGTCAGGTGCTACAAGGACCACGCTGTGCTTGTTTTCTCCCCGAAGTTGTGGGAAATAAGAGTGTTCCTCGAAGGACAAAATTCTAGCAATTTGAGTGTCCCCAGGAATCAAGCTGTGATGGATCTGTAGTACATTAATTGGGTATTTTTTTAAAAGTGTTCCTAGTATTTGTTTCTCTTCACCACTGAGAAACCAGGAAACTTGTGCTTAGATGTCATCACCTTCACCCTTCTCTTCCTGATTTCCTCATCCCATGTTCGTAATTCCCATCAGGGATTTTAGAGGCATCCTGTGCAAAGGCTGAGTAACAGGTTTAATTTGTGTATTTGTTTGCCTGATAGCTCTGCAGCAAGCTCTCCGGGGGCTATACTGGTAAATCAGTGTAGATCCCTGCTTTCTTTTTCCTTATAATGCTTTTTCCCAGGACTATAGAGGGCTCGTGCTGTAAATATAAGTAACTGTTCTGTTCTTGGAATACTTGTTAAGGTGTTAAAATACAGTGTTGGGTTTCCATGTTTACACTTTGGACACATTTTACATTCCAAGGGCAGGTCCTGGTATTAGGACTCCTCATCTTTATGCAAAATAAGAAGTTGCTTTCAAAAACATATTTTGATCCCTTTTTCATCCTTTCCTTCATTAGTGAGTAGTCACTTGGATGTGTAGTTGAGCGCATTCCAGCGCAGACTAATATGCTGATGTGTTGAGATCTCAGCTCTACCTTCCTTGCCTCCCAAGCAATGACAGGTATTTCTGCTGGAACACGTGACCTGGGACAGGAGAGTTCGTCAGTCTGAGCTCAGTAGTGCCAGGACGTAATTAGATCGGGCAGCAGAGATGTGTGCGGGGTTGGGAGGGCTAATCTCTCCTTTCAGTGACAAAGCCTTCCATTTCCAGGAACTTGACACCACGGCCTCCGCTTCAGCTTTGGATACTCTCAGCGTTGCAATTCCGAGTGCAGCTGGTGCACCGTTGTGTTTGGGTAGACACCAAGCCAGGCCGTGAGGCCAGTAGCTCTCGGCAACAGAAACACAGAGAGCGTGACTTGTTTTGCCGTATTCTTTGTCCCCCTGCGGCTCTTTGAGGAAGGGCCCTCCCACGTGCTGTTGGGGGGCAGCGCGTTACGCAGGAGCCGAGGCAGCGTTACCTTGCACACGGTCTGTTTCTGGGAAGTGTCTGTGGTGGGAAGGAGCCATCGCAGAGGCTTGGAGCAGTGACAGTGCTGGCATGCCCTGAGCGGCTGGCCCCGGGGCACACTGTGCCGCAGCGTGTAGAGGTTTGTCTTTTGCAGAGGTAAGGGCTAAAACGACGCTGTACATGTCTCTCTAGGTAAGAACTCAGGGTCCTATACTCACAGCAAGTGGCAAAAACCCAGTGATGGAGCTCAATGAGAAAAGAAGAGGTCTGAAGTATGAGCTCATCTCGGAGACAGGTGGAAGCCATGACAAGCGCTTTGTGATGGAGGTGAGTTACTGAGTTGGTAGGTGGCTTTAGTAACAGTGCTTCAGTCTTTGGAGGTACTTGATGCTACGGGTCAGATTTTTTTGTATTTTGCTTCTTGCAGTGCGCATCTGTGGTGGTGGTGTTTTCAGGTTTTTCTATCTCCTGTTGCTGCTGTGCTCATTAGACTGGGGAAAGGAGTATCTTTGTGCTTTAGGAAAATACAATGAGAATTAAAACTGAATTCTGACAACCCCAGTTACACCATGTCTTGGCATGAGGAGGAGGAGGGAAATAGAAGATCCACAGCTTGACAAAAATACCTGATCTGCAAATTTTGCAAACATGGTGGTAACCCCATGCCAGTGACCTGAATCTCCTATTGCCAGTGTGCCAGGGGTATTTGGAATGACTGTATCGGGGTAAATTTGTTTGATTTCTTCGTCTTCTTGTGCTGTCTCTGAAGTAGCACTGGGATTAAAGTGGTATGAGGTAGCACCCCAGTTAAGCAGTGTATGTACGGTGTAGGCAGAGATGTATAAGTGTATAAGGCACTGAAAAAGATGGGAGGAGCCTCGCAAGGATTTTTAAAACGCCATTTCCTAGTGGTATCTTTCATGTGTTGGGAAGCCAAGTGCACTGGCTAAATTCCGTATCAAATAGATACACCGGTCCTCTTTGAATTGCACTTGTAGTTTCCAGATTCCCAGTATCTGTGCTATAAGGGTTCACAGGATCACTTGGGTATTCTTTATCAGCTTGATCATCTAGAAGCAGCAACAATTTGTCACATAAAACACTGAGGGGTGTTGTTTTGGTTTTTTTACTACTGAAGTTTTTCATGGATGGCACATCGTGATGAGTGGGTGCAGCACCGTATTCCCAAGGGTCAATACTAGGCATAAACTCTTGTCTCAATTTTCAGGTAGAAGTAGACGGGCAGAAGTTCAGAGGGGCAGGCCCAAATAAGAAAGTAGCAAAAGCAAGTGCTGCACTAGCAGCACTTGAAAAATTGTTTTCTGGGCCTAATGCAGCAAACAACAAGAAAAAGAAGATTCTTCCTCAGGTAAGAATTGTTACTTGCTTTTTGGACCACTCTGTTATCACAGCTCTGGGCTGGTTTGCGATATAGGAATTTCTACAAGGTAGCAAGTGATTTCAGTCTCCTGGTTTATGCACACCTGTAAGGTTTCTATTATTATTCTATAATAGTTATTGTAGCATAACAGTATAATCCGAGAGTTGGGACCATATTGTAGGAAATACAGTAGAAGAGGTAAGCGCAAAGAGAATTCTGATTTTTCTTTTTTTGTTCAGGTGTTCTTTTTCCAGTAGGTCAATGACAACATTAATTGCCAAACTAGTCTTTGAAATACCTGGGTTTGCATGATTTTATTATTCTCAGAGCATCTAACAGAGCAGATGTGATTTTGGTAACAACGGGTAAAGGAAGGTGGCATTCGGGTAGAGTTAGGTTAGAGCAGTCCAGTGGTTAGTTGCTGTTGCTGTAAAGTTCTGGCCCTGCTGAAGTCCTGTGGGTTCAGAACAGCAGGACAGAAGCCAAGACAATAATGTAGATCGAGGAGAGAAAGCCTGCAAGGAGGTCGGAAGGACAGCAGCGAGGCAGAGGAGAGAAAGGGTCAGAAGCCACCGATGTTTTTTCAGGCCCACACGACCAAAACCACGGTACCTCGCACAGCCAACCGCCAGGTGTGAGCGACGCGAGTGCGCTGGATCGGTGTGCCCTGCCGCGCTCTGCAGCCGGTGAGCTGGCCAGGGACTCGCTTCTTTCTGTCCATCAGAGTCTCTAGGGCAGGACATCTCCAGTCTGTACGGCACCTTCAGAAAGACTGGTGCCCTGAGATTTTGAAAAGGCAGCAGGAGGTTAATGCAGATGGCCTTGTATTTCCAGCAGCACTTTCACTTTCTGAACTGCTCTTTTTTATTCTTCTGGGCAGACTAAAGGGGTTGTCAATACAGCGGTTTCAGCAGCAGTCCAGGCTGTTCGAGGCAGAGGACGCGGTGCTTTAGCACGAGGGGCATTTGTTGGGGCAGCTGCTGCTACTGGATACATAACACCAGGTAAGGCGCAACACCAACAGCTCGTAGGTTGATGTTTGTCTGCTGGGGTGTTCTCCTCTGTGTGTGTCAGTCACTTATGCAGCCAATTTCTTCAGCTTTAATCATGTGAGATGAAGCAGAAGGGAGAATTCATGGGGCTTTAAATAAATCAAAGAGCTGAAAAACTGGCAGTACCTGTCCGTTAAAAGTACACGATGTGAAGCTCGGCATGCACAGAGCACACAGCGATGGGGATAATGGCTTTCCTGGCTCTGTTATTTTATGTCTTCACAGCTCTTTGCAATGGCACAATTCCCAAAACACTTCCGAGCTAAGAAGCTCCTGGGTCATGTGCCCTTTAAGATTAGGAGTGGCTTTCCCAAGAAACCCATGTGGAGATGACTTTGGCAGTCTCGGGAGTCACTGTGCTCCCAGAACCTTTGTGCATGAATTGCGTGTGTGAGCATGGCATCTATTAGTAGCTTCTAAAAACAGACAAAAGTTTCTGTTCGTACATTGGCCGATGGTAACTCATCATCGCCGTTGCGCTATTCTGATGAGCAGAAACATCTTCTGAAATCCCAGGATCTTCTGTTTCCCATTTATCCTCGGTGCTTGCAGTGCAGAGCAGGTGGATCCTGGTCAGGATCTCTCATGGCCGATTCCGTGGGGCAGCCTGGCCTGTGCCAGAATCAGACGTGGTTCAGCTGAAAGAGCTGGTACAAAACAGTGTAAGGGGTTTTTTTTTTGTGGTGGTGTTTTGTTTTTAACATGACAGGCATACAGAGTGTAAGGTGTTAAAACATCAACACAAGAACATTTTAACAAAATGTTCGCTTTCTCTTTCCCCTTTTCAAAGGCATTGTTCTTTTTGACTCTTACAGCATGTCTGAGCTTGCAGCTGACATGCAAAGGGAATCTTGGTATTGTTTTTACTTGGAATAAGAATCACAGATTTGTAAGAACAAGATGCTGGAGTTTCCTGAGTCAAAGCAAATCAAATTGCTTCCAGAAACTAAAATTTATATTCCTCCTGCTCAGGTTTTCAGATTACAGCACAAGCTCTAATTATACCCTTCAGCAGTTCACACGTGCTAATGGCGTAGCCCTGGTGTTGGGTAGACTTCTTCCTGGCACAGTCGGCAGCATGTCATCTTCATTGTTCCTGTACGTTTGTGTAATTAGAAGTAGTAAAAACCAGTAATTCATTTTTAATGTCTGTTAACATTGTTTTTGGAACTGTCTTTCTGCCCAAGGAGTCATTTATGAGACACTTTAACCTGCCAGGGGCATGCTTCTTGCCAGCATGGAATTACTCCAGAAATAAATTTAATTTCCCAGTTGCTGTAGTTGTTAAGCTTTTATTGGCCTCGACCTTCACAGATAATTTCTCTCCATCCCCTGTTCTTCTCAGAATCTCTTGCTTTTTGTGATGGACTCAAGTAATCCCACCAACAAAAAAACCCAACCTGTAAAGCTTTCACATACTACTGAGACTGGTCTTACTACTGTTGCTTCTTGTCTCCAGAGTCATGCTTAGCTCTTTGGAAGACAGACAGAGTTCTCTGTTTGCCTCTAGGTGTTCAGGTGTCCTCTGTGAAACCTCCTTTGGTTTGTTAGAAATGGCAGAGGAAGCAGAATTCACAGGAGCTTTATTGATGTGACACAGGATCTGCCACAGGCGTCTAGTGTTCCCCTCTTTATGATGGGAAATGACTGTTCCCTGCATTAGACTGTATTTGTATTTTAGGAGGAACATAAGCAAATATGGGATGTCTGGATCGTGCTGGCTCCATTCTCTGACAGTGCAGACTTGCAGCCTTCAGCTGAAAAAAAATTCTAAGGAAACGAAATACAGAAATATAGGCTTAAGAAAGTCACGGGGCAGTTTGTTCTTCAAGCCACCTTGTAGGAGGATTTTCATGTTTTCAGCAACTTTTATATGTATTAGCATGAGTGTGTTTTTATTTTGGTCCTGTTGGTCCTGCCTCATGTACCTGAAAGGGCCCTTCCCTGTGAGTTGGGGTGCAGACACCAATTGTCTTCAGGCCCTGGAGGAAATGAAACCTACCCCTTCTCTGTTTCTGTTGCAGGCTACGGAGCACCGTATGGCTACAGTACAGCTGCACCAGCTTACGGTATGTACAGCCCAATAATTAACACATTAGAAATGATACAGAAACTGTTGGGGCAGTCCAAATGTGGCAGTCCAAGGAGAAATTCAAAGAGATTAAAGCTCTTAAACCATGACAACAACAACAACACTTTTATGCCATAACCTTGTGGTTCTTTTTTGGTTGGAGTAGCTTTTTTGCCTATGCTTTGCCTGATTTGTGGAAGGACTGCTTGTTCTAATTGCCTGTTCCCTTTCATACTGAAACCGAATTGAAGTAGTTCTCTTACTGTTTACAGCCAATCTGTGCTCCATTCAAAGACTACCGAAGGGCCTATTTCAGCATCTCTGACCCATATTTATCTAAACAGCATTACAGTAACACTGGCAAAATGTTTGTCCCCAAGTGTAAGCGGCTTGTGGACAAAGCTCCCTTAATGCTGTCAGCTCTATGAAGTCCCTGTGCATATGCGCCCCCCCCGCCCCCCGCAGGCTCAAAGGCTGCTGCTCGGGAGGAGCAGAACGGTTTTGTGTAGCTTCCACCTTTAGCCATCACACCACAAGGAGTCTAGGCCACGGGCATTTGCCACGATGCTTTTGACTAAGAACTGCAGTGACAGTAGGCTGGCACAGCGCTGGTTTTGTGAAGATTGTAAAATAAACTAATCATCAGAGAGTCACGATGGAAGGGTTTTTCTTAACTCAGCTTCTCCCTACCCACTGGCTTTTTTTACGCTAGACTAACAATGCACACCTCTAACTGGCCCTTTTGGTTACTTTGAATGAGGTTTATGTGGCAATGGGAGCAAAGCAGTTTGGAGTCGGTGATATGTCCTGGCACACAAAGCACAAGCCCACCAGAACCAGTCCCACTGGCCTCTCCTGGACTGGGACGGGCTGCAAGCCGGCCACTCACACGAGGAGTACGTTTCCCGGCCTGCAGTTTGACATACGGGAAACTAAGCCTGCAATTTCTAGCTTTTCTAGCTTTTATAGCATTTTTAATACTTGGTCCTCTCAAATTTGTGTAGCTTGGGCAATACCAACTCCCCAGACAGCATTATTAGCAGCAGCAGAATTCTGCTGCTTTATTGAAAATGTTCCCTTTGCCTGGCTAAGACCAGCTGGTCCTGGTCACATTCCTGCAGAGGAAAGGGGAAGGAGAACAGGCCCGTGGGCTGCGCCCACTGTGTGGAATCTTCCCTTCCACGTGGCAGCAAACCTCTCTCGATGGAGAACTCCCATGGTCCTGCCTGGCCGGGCGCTCCGAGACGGAAAGGCAGTGGGCGGCAGCGCTGTGCCCCTGCCTTGCCCCGGGGGCTGTCCTGCACGCTGCGTTACATAAGGAACAGCTACATATTTTCTCAAGGCAAAATGAAAGGAAATTTACTTTAGGTCTTACTTTATGGTACGGATGTTTTTTAAAGAAAATCTTCTTTCCAAGCAATAGTCGCGAACCATTACCTAAGATGAGAGGTATCTGTGTGTGTGTGTTTTTAAAAGCAGTGCCACACAGTGACATAGGAGGAATCCTTTCTCTGCTCAGAAGAAGACTACAATTGTGACCAACCTGCCTTGCAGCTTTTCTCACTTTTTTCATTCATTGCCTCTGTTTGGTGTTTGTTCTAATGATGCCTATTTGGGAGCTGGATTTTAATCACTCAGCTGTGTATCTGTGACATATCACTGACTTCAAAGCATTGTGGATTGAATGCCCCCATTTTTCACATAAAGAGTTTCTGTTTTTAATGTCTTATGATTGTGATGCGAAGTACTGGGATAATGCTTTTTGGCTGTAAGGTAAACATGTCTCTTTGCCTTTGTAAGCTGTTGCATGTTGGGAAACTTCACTTTGATCATCTGGTGCTCTGGAATACCTGCTGTTGCTGCTTTGTGATTTCTAAATGGATACATAGGTTAAATACTAGAATTTAAACAGGCAAGATTAAAAAAAACAAACAAACATTTAATTGTGCAGAAGTTTGTGAGGCCACAAGAACTTTATAATAATCACAAAATCAGGCAGATATTAATCTTTCCAGATTTGGCACTTCAATACAGGAGAGGAAATACAGAATAATGGAGCAGGTGCAGAATTTACTGTAGGTGCTTGATTTTTGGCTGACCTACCCGGATGCTTAACAAAACTGCTGAACAGTTTCCCTGCAAGTTCTCTTTTATGCACAGCAGTGCCTGTCTACAATATCCGCAATTGCAATTAACTCAGAGCAGGATAGCAGTAGAGATTAATTATTGTAAAGATTACGGAAGTAGAGCTCCAAGTCCAAACAGACACTCTGCTTTCGAGAATATTGCTCACTTTAATTTTGCCAAACACCAGGACAAACCTAAAGGCAAAGTTGAAGCTTTGTGTGACGTAGTGCCGAGTGTTGAAGTGTTACTGTTGTGGGGACTCTGCACCCGCAAATCACATGGACTGACTGATCTGGAAGAGGTTAATGAGAACACTACTGTAAGCTCTTATCTGACTTTCTTGGATCACTGAACTTATTTGGAGTCCTCTCCCTTTCTTCTCTCTGTAGGTTTACCCAAGAGAATGGTTCTGTTACCAGTTATGAAATTCCCAACTTATCCTGTTCCCCACTACTCATTCTTTTAGCAAATGGCAGAAGCTAATTCCCATTGATTGAACACCACAGTACAGTACAGAATGTTAGAAGAAAAAAAGCCTTTTTATCCTGTTTTCTTTGAACACATACTTGAGCAAAGTCATTTGTAAAGAAACATCTTTTTCCTACTTTTTGATTTTAACAAAATGCAAATTTAGTTCTCTAAAACTTGAAAAACTGTTCTGTGAAATGTTACCTCATTTTCAAATAACTTATACCAGCCTTCTGTTATAGGGAAGAACTAGAAGCTTAAATCTTACGTTTTAAATGAAGTATCCGATTATGTAAAATTAAATTTGTGAAGGATGTATAGAATATAAAACACTGATCACAAATAAACTGTTTTGTTGTAACACAAGAGTACTGCCTGTTTCCTAATGCAGTCACACAGATCCAGTTAACAACCTTTACTCGTTGTAGGGTTATTAATGCAGGGCATAGTTCTTTTAAAAATAATAATTAAAAATAAAAAAAACAAACCTGCACAATAGAAACTTTACAGTTAACACTTAAATTCATAAATATTATGGTGTATAATACACTTAGTAAAATATGAGTTAAAATACTGTTTTATCTTACTTTTTATAGTTAAGCATCAGTACCTGAGTTCCTTATAGTCTTTAAGATCAGCATAATGTAACTGTGATCTCAGACACAGTCTTAGTTATCCAAGAAGGCTTTTCACTCGTACACAAAATACTGAAAAACAAACAAAACGAAGTGAATTAATCTCAGACAGTCTCTCTGTATTAGGTTGCGTTCTATGAAATCAGTATTAACCAGGGGAAGTTCCCACAGAAGGACTCTCACTATATAATTACAGGGATACATAGTTAAGTCCGTATTGCCCAGAGAAAGGACGACAATAATGTTACAATCAGGTTCCTTAGAGCTCAAAAGCTGCTTGTTTTCCTTTATTTTCTGGTTTTACCAAAAGAAAAAAAAAAATTGCACTTGTTCTTGTGGCCTTCTTCACTTTTAAGATTGTCTGCCCACCCTTGATTTTTCCATCCACCATTTCTACAGAAAGCATTTTACTTCTGTTAAAACAAAGGGTTCTCCTTTCCCCCCTTACATTTACAAGAATCTAAAGCAGCAACAAGGTCCCCATGAAAACTTGCTATTTAATTGTCCCAGTTCTTGTTGAGTGCTGCTGTGGAAAGTGACACACTTCAGCCATAGGCCAGTACTTTTTCTAAGTGTTGGTGCTCAAACCGAACGAATCCTCGCTCCGCTAAGCGGTGTGTGCCCCTGTCTGGAATTCCAGGACAGGCCTCAGCTCCACGCTGCCTCCAGGGCTTGTCGACTTCTGCATAAAACTTCTGCGGGCTCTAACGAGGGAGTCGAGTAGTCTTTATTAAGGTATCACCCCACAAAGTAAGCAGCGTTGCTGGTCGCACTTCTCTCCTCAGACCTCCCCCGTTGCTTTTCAGTAGGTTGGCTTTAGTTCCTGCTTGTCAAGATTGCCTCGATCTACTCCGGTCTCCGGCAGCCTCTGCTCTGAGGCAGGGGGAGCTTTATGTATGGTGAGGGTGTAAGATGGGTGCTTAAGGCAATGAATGTAAAGTTCCTCCTCCCTTGCGGCCCC